GGGGCCGGGAAGGGCTGCCCGGGGCGGACGGAGCGCGGCTTCGGCAGAGCCGTCCGGTGGCCGTTGCAGGTGGCAGGGCAGAGGGTGCCCGGAGCCGCCTGTGCCCCCTCCCGGGAGAGCCCTGGGTGCTGGCCTGCCCGCCCCGGACGGGCTCCTCCGTGGGCTCGTGGGGAGCCCGCGATCCCTGGGAGGAACGGCGGCTGCACCCCGGGCCAGGGACGTCCCAGCCCCGGGGGTCCCTGGCCCGGGGGTCGCACCTGGCTGGGGCTCGGTCCAGGCGCAGCAGGTCTAGACGCCCCCTTCAGACCACCCCGGGCCTGGTCCGCGGACCACACTCTGAGTAGTGAGCTGCAGCTCACTACTCAGAGCACCCTTCACACGTGGCCCCCACCGCACAGGGGGCGGCGGCCTGGAGCTGGGCTGTGCTGCAGCTTCGTGGCCACCCCGGCTGGCGGAGGTCCCCCACCCCCTGGAGCTGACGCTCTGGAAAGCGGGGCAACAGGTTGAAAAGGGGGAGACACGAGATGACTCAGTTTCAGCCGGGAGCACCTGCTGGATGGAGAAGCAGGTGGCCCCGCGTGGGTGGTGTGGCCTCGTTTAAGTGGGAGTGGGCGGAAACAGTCCTCCCTCCCCAGAACTAGTCAGGTTTGTGGGTGATGTCCGGCTCAGGAGGAAGTCAGCAGGCCATGGGGAAGCTGCCAAGGCTGACACTCCCTGTTCCTCAGGTGCTGCTGAGGTGCAGCAGCTTCGCGCTGTATCCGTCTAACTGGCGTGGCAGGAGGTTCACCCACGCGAGCTCTTGGCCTGGTAGAAGTTGCCGGGTCTGGACTGGGGCTTTGCACGCTTGAATGTTCCTCCGTGGAGCCTGATCACCTGCAGATTCTGGCTCAGCCAGGCTGGGGTAAAGATTTATTTTATATGTATTTGGGCATACAAAAGCTGGGGTGTAGGCTGGGGGAGCAGGGAAGTGAGAGGCTTCACCAGAGACAGAGTGGGGAGCAGAACAGGCAGATCGCCGAAGTACACTGCTGAGGGGAGCAGCGGGGAGACAGGAGAGGTCTGCCGCGCCCTGTGGGTCAGCTCCGGGCCAGGGATTGAACTCGCACTGAAGAGGCTGTGGCCAGCTTGCAGTAGTGCTGCGTCCCAACCCGTTACGCCACCGGGCAGGGCCCAGGGTCTGCATTTTTTT